AGAGAGAGAGAGAGAGAGAGAGAGAGAGAGAGAGAGAGAGAGAGAATGAATAAGTGAGTGAGTAAGAAAAACATTTTATATAAACAGTATTTATTTTAGGGTGGAATACTTAAATTTAATGAAACCCTGTGATGAAGCTGGGCTAGATTGGACATTGAAACCTTGCATTCATTTATCAGCACATTGGAGCAATAATAGTATGTATACGCGTAAATAAGTTTATCTTGGGTTGTTTAAATTTATTATATTATAAGATATAAGGTATTTTTGATACTATTATTTAAATTGACGAAGCTATTTTGCTATAGGAAAATTCGTAATTTTCAAATTAATTTGTACAAACTTTCATTAATTTCATATAATTTATCTCTTCATTTTTTGGTAAGACTTTGTTTTTCACAATTGTGACATTAGCGATCTATTAGTGAAACAAATGATACTAGAGAAGTTTCTATATTAAGACGCGAAAAATTATTGAAATACTGTATCGTGACACTGCTTGGCTATATGTAGCATATTGTTATGAAATTTAATTTCAATTAGCAGTATACCTCTGCATTCATTTTTCCGATTAAATGTAAAAGTAGTAAAAAAAATATCTCGTGAAAAAGTGATGCACACCAGGATATTGTCTTCAACCTCCACCATCGGTCCAGTTACAATTTGTCGATGTACAATCGATTTGTTTTAAATCTTCTTGGATGTATGTGTCAATAAGTCAAGAATTTGTAACATTCAAATCGTCCAAATGCTAAACAATAATGTAAGTTAAGACAGAGCTCTTATATCACTATAGATAGCTGCTGTCCGGCATTGTATAAAGTGTGAGGTAGCGCGTACTGTATATTTACTTGTTATTTGTAATATCCGATAAAGATATAAATTCTCTAGGAAATGCAAGCTTTTTTAATTGTTGTTGTATTGTATAAAATAGCTAGTATATAAATTGAGTCACGCATGCAATGAAAAAGAAATGAAGAATTTCATTGAAGGCTGGAAGAAACATCTCTCGTTGAAAGATTTTTGAAAAATCGTGAATACTAAATTTGGACATAAATAAAAATGTTACACACATATACATGTGCTACTACATCCGATATCAAAAGAGGACCAACCGTCTCTTTCCTCTTATCCTATGATACGATTTACATCGCACATATACATATAACGTTAAAGTTATAATAATGAAGACGAGAGTGATTTTCATTAATCCAGTGAGTGATCTAATCATTAAAAAATCACAAATTTGCATGTATATAATAACGAGCATAAAGATTGATCCATGACAGTTAGTTGAAATGAGAGAAAGACTGAAGGACTACATTGCTGTATAATTATGTTCACTTTAACATTGGCACTATAATTTTAAGTGTTTAGTACTGGAAATTATAACATTAATACAAGATTAATACAAATTTATGGAAATGAGAAGTATTTGATACATCGCAAAAATAGGATGAGTTAAAACAGTAGCATTCAGAAATAAGATTTAGCAACTGATTTGTGTTTCTTCTTTGTATCGTTACTTTTTGATAGCAGAGCATAAATGACTTTTATATTCACTGTCTTACAATACAATTTTCTAATTTTTACAGTCAAGATGATTCATGTCTTTGCACCATTATTACTCAAAGCAAATGCAGCACGATATACATTAAACAATGAACTGTACAAATAAAGATTTTTACCTTATTTAAATCATTATGTCGTGCTGCTTTCGTCTTACACAGAAATTTTAATGTTTATCCTTATTTTACGTTATATGTGTAACAAATAATATTATAGTAACAGTAGCTTATAATTAACAGTTCGGTATTTGTGTCGGTTTATTGATATATAGCGTATATACAGCGCAAATCTATTCAGAATTTTATTTAAAAGCTACCAGTAATGTACAAAAGAAATTATTTAATGTGTTTCATTATGTCAAATATTTTATGTTGATAATGTATGTTGTCGTAAAATTTTGTATTGATTTAGAAGCTTGCAATGTGAAGGATAAGAATGTCTGGTAATTGAATAGCAATTCATTGCTTGGAAATTGAAGGTGTGGTAAGGTAATTTTATGCGAAGAGATATTCAATTCATTCCTGATCTCAAAGCAAATGAAAATTGGACTGTCTATTCAACATACCAGAAATATTCATTTTCTCGATGTCAATCGACTATTTAATAAATTTCTCACATTTACATTATCTGCATGGTATTACTTTGAACAGTTAGATAATCGCGATTCCTTCCTCCTCACAAAGTTTGAATATTTTCAATATTATTTTTCATGTTCCTGTGGTAAATATTACATTTCGGATAAATCGCTGTGATTATGCTAAGTTTATATATAAGCTTAATATTTAAGAAGCAGCTTTGGGATCAATATAATCACAACTGAAAAATACCACAAAATATATATGTTGTATATATAGAAATTTTTCTCAAAAACCATGCACCATCCATTACATGTGTAACATTTGAGATAAATGAAAACGTATTGGTTTGATCAAATATCTCCGTTAATATTTTTTGTTATATAAAATACATGTAACTAATGTAAGATGTAATTCTATTTGATATTACATAATCATAAGTAGTCAAAATATATATAGGGTGTTAAACATATATTAATGTATATAGTTGTCTTATATTTATGTAAAAATTGTATCAGTGTGATAACATTTTGATGTTATATATTTTATTGGTTCTCCATTGATATACAATTTCTTTAAAAAAAAAATACATGAAAATGGAAATTAATTACTTTCCATTATATCATTAGATACTACATGAAACACACCCTGTATATTTATAATTTTAGATCATGGTGCTTTGTAATATACGTATTTAACACTACTAAGAAACTAGAAAATTTATTCACATGAGCGACCACCGATTTAATGTGGGCCCCTGCACGCTTATAAAATGTCGAGCGATACGTACAGAAGGAAAACTGTATTAAAGTAGTAAATAGTGCTCTAAATCGAAATTCTAAGGGAGTTATTAAACAACGACGAATGTATTTTGTACCTTATTGAAACGTCGCATAAGTTTCTGTTTTTCTACTTAAAAAACCGTTTACAATTTTATATGTATTTTATATTTACGAAGCCACGCGTCACACATAAATGTGTATTGTATAATTTGCGGTCATCAATTGATGAATCCTGTTAAATAGTTTGTTGTTATCCGTAGCTTAGGGGCCCCGTATGTAGATATAATAATAGGCAACAGAATTATTAAATAATGTCATCGATGCCTTGCGTAGGTAGTTAATGTCAAATTATAGAATAAATATTCGTTGTCAATTGTAGAATGATATAGGCAAAGCCAGCAGCAGTTATTGTAAAGGTTGTTATCACGTACACTCATTGTGCATACACAACAGCTGCGTTCAACTGATATATATACACGCAATATATATATATATATATATTCAAGGTAATAAAAAGAATATTTGAAAAGAAAACTGAACATACATAAATTTATATATTCATCTTTCGATACGCCGATACTTTCTACATGCACATTGTCAATGACAATGTTATTGCTGCTGGTAGAGTCAACTGAGGTACGTAATGAGCAGCCTCTTCTGCAATATTATTTCGTATTGTCAAAATAAAGCGAATTTTCAGTAAACTCTCTCTCAATTACATTCAATTCCACTCGACCTGATTAATAAATCTTTTTCGAATATTAATGAGTTTCGAAGAGATAATCTTAACCGTGAGAGAAATTCAATGTATTATAATTTTCAGAGTACATTTAGGAACATACAGTCAACTAAAAACGCATGTCGGTGTAAAGCTTTTTATATTTTCTTCCAAGACTTTGTTAATAATAATATTACATTCATCACAATCTTACAAATATAACATTCAGTTATTATATCACAATTTCTACTTTGTGTAATGCAGAAAGCTGATTTACTGAGATGTTTTTTGATATCTGTATAAAAATATACAATTGTTCGTGATAATTATATCTACAATATATTCTCTTGGATTATTTTAGGGGGATTTAGAAAGTGTTTGATTACAAAAGCATTGTCATCATTGAATAGCGTTTCGTTACAAGAGCGTATCAGCCTTCGATTCATTAAATATTATTTCACTATTAAATAATGAATAGATATAATAGTAAATACTTATTTGCTTTATATATTCTATCTATAACAAAATATTTTGCTTTTCTTATAATTTTTTTATAATAGGTAAAAATTCAGGAATAGTAAAAAAATGTAATCTAACAGAATTTTCTTACGCATAAATGTGTGTGTATGTATATATATATATATATATATATATATACATACACTTATATGAAAAAAAAAACAGGGAAGAATAAGAAAAATCGTACATTTTATACAATCTTAAATACTTGATCGTTAATACATTGTTATATTCTTACATTTTGTTAAAACTTATTGTTTAAAGCAAAATCATGTAAATGATTGATACTTTATATTATCATCATTACCTGAAGTCCATGATATTCGATAATGCTGTTGAATATCCTATATAATACGCAATTATATATAGTATATATATATATATATAAAACGCAAATATATATATATATATAAAACTTAAACGAATTTATTATATATATTAAATCCATTTATATTGTAAACTACAAAAATGGATAAAACAAGTTATTTCTTCATTATTATTGAAAGGTAATGAAAGTCGTTACCTTTTAAAATCTGTTATATCTATATTTTGAAAAGAGTAAATATACTTTTTAGTATAAGCTAAAATATTATTATTAAATGTAATAAACTTGCTGTAATTTTTCCAAAATGAAAACAAACAAAGCGCGTTTATTTGTTCGTGCTGATCTTTCTAAAGTTTTATAATCATTTTATTTGTTTGTTCATAAATAAATGTTAGACTTTTAATGTTTCAGAAAGCAATATAGACATTAATATAAAATATTTTGTATTTACATAATTTGTAATTACAGTATGATGTTACGAAGAAAAAAAGTTAAGTGATAGTTAAGATTATCATGGTCATTATAGAATATATAAAATCATGTTGCGTCGTTCTAATTCAATATAACTTTCAATCTTCATATGCCACAAGAAATATGCGCGCTTGTAAAAATATCTTTATATAAAGTTTTTGAAAATGTACACTAACGGAATACACTATGGTGATGAAAGTAGTTTGTTATCTAAACAAATGCCAATGAAATTTTCTTAGCACCCAAACTGCGTCCTAAACTTGAACGCAGAATTCATATGTTATTTTCCTGCATAACTTCAATTTGCAGTGACATGAATTCCATCGTCTG